CTATATAAGTTCACCAGTAGCTGTGAAGACAGGTACGTTGAGCACACTAACCGAAGTCTAGGCGTCAGAACTGATGAACATATCCCCAGGTAGTTACTCAGCCGGATGAAGTCTGTGACGTGGGAATCAGTTGAATCGGGAAACCGAGCTACCTAGGAAGTAACAAAGCACTTGTTTACCAACAAGTACCGAGTCATTTCTGATGAGACATACACAATCGGCGGCCCCACATGCCTAGGCTAATATGGGCCAGTTATCGATCCCCCGTGACCGCCGCTGTGCATCCAAAAACAACTGACTGTGGCTTTAAGCCTACTCTAGTGGCGCAAATGCGTGGCTATCTACGATCTTTCTGACATTATTGATTGTTCATTTACATATCATTGTTGCATATTTTGTGATTGATAAGAATACATTAATTGGCGACGTCACCTCTTAATTTACGTCATCTGATTTTCCTGTTATAAAGGGAATCTCTTGTTTTAAACTCCAGTTACTGGTGTTATAGTATTTTAACGATTGTCTATCCTTCTGTACTATTCGTTTTCATTAATTATCTTGGTTCGTGGCATATGTGAGAGCTGAATATTCACATTTCAAGAATGCACAAAGCACTTTCTTGAGTTGACTTGAAGGTGATTAACTTTATTACTTACTTATTAACTTTATTACTCTTGACTAGCGGGTTACGAAGTGTTTCAGTTCGTACAGCTTCTGTGGTAACTGACTTCACTCCTGAGGAATTTGACATCAGATTCAAGCTTGACCGCGGGTATGATCGTGCCTTCCTCTTGTTGATGAGCCACTGCAGTCAATCCGCTTGACCCATGGAAATTGCTGATTGATAACGAATATCGGTCAATATCATAGCTAAGCAGAATGAATGCCCAGCGTTGCATATGGTTAATTGTATAAGCCGAATTGCTCTTCATCAAGCCGAAAATAGTCAACGGCAGTTTGTGATCCGTTAAAAGTTTGAAGCGGCGGACAAACAGCATTTTGTGGAATTTTTTCATTGTGAAAATCGTGGGCAATGCATCTTCCTCGTTTTGACTATATATTTCCTGCCAGCGTGATTGATCGTTTTTGGGATCCATCTGTGTACCTTGGGTTGTGCGAGAGCTCCACTCCCAGTGACTGGCCAAGTTTTGATTTCGTGTTGCAATCTAAACACACGGTCATACACCAAAATCCAACAATGAAGTCCCGTAACCCTATAAATTACTCTTGGGTTTAAGACCGCCGTAGTGAATGACTGTCAAAAAGATGCATGGACTAGCCACCATAGCAAACCTTTGAAGGATAGACTGCCTATGTTGACTTAATCAGTACGCTTACCAAAAATCGCGCTCCTGCGGTGCACAATACGAGGGTCGTACTACGCTTAGCACTGATTCGTGCTATAAAGCATTTTTCGGCTAAAAACGAGCAGTGTGTCCTTACACTTAATCAAAGAGAGCAAGCTTTTATAAGATATGCTTCTCTCGGATATTTATATACTGATAAACTTGTAACCCCCCATTAGAATTCGAGATATGTTCTATTCCTGCTTGTTTGACTCCCAGACTGTTCTGTTCACTATCACCATTTCTACTCTGATCCAAGCGTTTGTATTTGGCTCCTTGATACACCAACAATCAGCATCCGCAGTACGCCGCACACTCTACGGACGCTTCGCTGCCACGTGACCGCCACCGGTCGCGCGTGGGCTGATTGTACCTTGAAGTTGCCTGCACCCACACGGATTCGGAGCGGTGATCTCTGGATTACAAACAGCGTGTAATGCCACCGACCGACTGATCGACCTAAGCAAAATCCTGCTGCGCACAGGACGTGCAGCGCTATGCTTGTCTGTTGGCAGTTGTCTACAGGCCACCGAACTCCACCGCAGACCGAGATGACATTCTGTTAAACGCGCTTCATTATGCAGTTTCTCAAAAGTACTCACATTGTCTAATCATGGGCGATTTTAATGTACCCTCAATTGTCTCAAGCGACTTCTAGTGGTCCTTACTTCAAATCAAAGATTCTCGAGTTTATGGATACAGCAGCTCTGTACAACCACGTGCACAGACCAACTAGACACCGCGGTTCAAATAAGCCATCGCTTCTGGATTTAATCCTAACCAACGAAGAGTTGATGATTGAGACAATTTCATACGATCCACCATTAGGCAACAGTGACCACTCAGTGTTAAATTTTGCCTGTGTGTTACGCCAATACCACTGAAATCAGACATGAAAACCGACGAACTATAACCAACTATTCCGTGCTTCACAGCCTAGCGACAACCGTCAACTGGGACCTCAATCTGCAGAGCACGGCAGACGACGCGTGGAACGAACTAAAAGACAAAATTAGCTGTGTCACGCAAGCAGCCTCTAAAGTCATACCATTACGAGTGCCCACGCCGGACCAACACCTGGATCCGAAGCAGAACGCGTAAATGGATTAGCACCAGAGACGAGATCTGGAGACAATACGCGCTGAACAATTGCGACGCCACCTGGGAGAATTACAAAATAGTGAGGAACTATTGCACATCACTGATTAGAGCCGATAAGTACGAATGGCAAAAAAACATGGTACTTAAATTCACGAACAATACAAAACTGCTGTACAGGTACGTGAACAGCAGAAGGAAAGGTAAAACAGGAATACCACCACTCAAGACGGATGGTGGCCTAACGACTACTGCTGTGGATGCTGCGAACGCATTACTTCTGCAGTTTGGCACAGTGACTGCAAACGCCATAGAACGTTTGCCAAACCAGCATTCACCCAACGTGGTCGGCATATCAACTGTCACTTTTACCTCAGCAGCTGTCGCTAGCAAATTACGGTCTCTAAGAGAAAATAGCGCTCCGGGAGTCGACAAGATCAGACCAAAAGTTCTTAAAACTCTTGCTCCCACCATAGCAGCACACCTCGCAAGCTTTATCCAAAGTCTACTCAATTCCCAAACAATTCCGTCTGAGTGGAAAAGCGGGATAGTCACTCCGATATACAAAGGAGGTAAGCGATCGGATCCTGCCAACTACCGACCCATTACTCTCCTCACTGTTTTATCAAAAGTAATGGAATCGTTAGTTGCAGATGAAATTACACGATATTTTGAGAGTCTGAAGCTAATTTCTCACCTCCAACACGGCTTTAGGCGCAAACGATCTTGCCTCACAAATCTGCTTCTTGCTCGGGATTCATGGACCAAAGCGCTTGATGAAGGATCCCCCCTTGATATGATTTACCTAGACTTTTCGAAGGCATTCGACAGAGTCAATCACTTAGCTCTGCTTCATAAGCTTCGTGCCTACGGTATCCATGGTTCCCTACTCACCTGGCTAGCAGCATATTTGCATGACAGAACGATCAAGGTCAGAGTCGCCGATGCCCTCTCGGAAACCCTCTGCATCTCCAGCGGTGCTCCTCAAGGATCCGTCCTTGGTCCCCTCCTTTTTCTGGTCTACATTAACCACCTCCCGGATAATATTCAATCCTCGATGCAAATTTTTGCAGATGACGAAAAAATCTGGAGAGTTATTCGATCAACATCAGACTATGCCCTCTTCCAGAATGATTTGGATCGAATCAACAAATGGACAGATATAAACCACCTCCCCCTGAATCCTGCCAAGTGTCACCTACTGTCATTGCGCAGCAATCTTACCAACACGTACCTCTTGGGGCAGTACGTTTTACGGCGCGTGACCACAGAAAGAGACTTAGGTTTCATTGTGCAAGAAAGTCTGGGGAATTCGCTCCAATGTTCGAAAGCAGCAAACGTGGCGAACATGAATCTGAGACTTTTGAGGCGAGCTTTTGGTGTTTTTGAACGACGGTTGGTACCCATGCTTGTCAACTCCTATATCCGTCCCCACGTCGAATATGCCGTCCAGACTTGGTGCCCATGGTTAAAACGGGACATTCATCTCTTAGAGCAGCCCCAACGAAGAGCTACGAAGGCAACACGCGGATTATCTGGTCTCAATTATGAAGTGCGTCTCAGTTTAATCGGAATGTTTTCCTCCGAATACCGACGACTACGCGGAGATCTCATTCTCGCATATCGGATATTAACGGAAAGCGATCACCCGTGCAAATCGCTGCTCACCCTAGCCTCATATAAGCGATCGAGAGGTCATAACCTCAAGCTGATAATCCAACACTCCCGATTAGACTGTAGAAGATATTTTTACTCTGTTAGAATCTGTTCACAATGGAATGACTTGCCAACGCATGTGGTAAACGCTCCGAACATTACAGCCTTCAAGCAATTGTTAGACATTCATCTGAGTGACAAACAACACATTATGGTGTGATGTACTAGGTTTAGACTATTGGTATTTCAGTTCCATGTCGGAATCTAATGATTTTTATTTATTTTGCATTTACCATCCTATGGGTCTTGTAAAGCCATTGCTTTTTATCCCATCTTACACTATTGAAAGACAGACAGGCAGTTTCAGTGTCATTGTGCCCGAAGTACCGCGTACTGTTAGTGAACTGTGTGACGAACTGGTTAGCCTAACAAGAAGTCAACGAGCCATTCCATTGATGTTGTGCACTTGTGGGAGATTACCACTCCCCCTCGATCCAAACCAAGCGCTTCACCGGTCTGGAGTACTCCGGAGCCATTTTCCGAAAGAGGATGCAGACGAAGCGACAGGCAGACTACCAGAGAAGACAATGCTAAGACTTTTATGACGATAAACAGAAAGTGATTGTGTTACTTGCAGAATGTGTCGGCGCGGGATGTGGAAAATATTCCTTGCGATCGATTGCCCGCCATGCATATCGTGGGAATAATAGTCTAATTTCTATCCTGAACTCGGGATCACAAGTGCACGTCCGCTGTGGACTCTAAGTTTGATATAAGCCACTTACCATTACACCACATTAAGAATGTAGATTCTCATTCAGTTCAGCTGTTACCGGTTTCTGCATTATATCATTTCTTAAACACAACGTATTTCCACGCTTAATAGGGATCTATTTTCAGGTGACATTTGACGGTGATGTCATTGACCAGTTCTCTGGATGACGATTCCGAATACGAAGTCGAAGATTTACTTGATATCCGATACCAGAATGACGAACCCGAATATCTTATCAAATGGAAAGGCCACTCGCAGTAAGTGGACTCAGCGTGACACGACCTGTTGTTAGCAATGTTAATTCTTGGGAGCCCCATTTTAACTTGAACTGCCCTTTGCTGCTTCTCAAATTCCATCAAAAGCATAAGCACCCAAGGAACACTGTCGTTGACATTGTAAGTCCCGAGGATTTTCCCTACAATGGCTTCAGCCCGAAACCAAAGAGCCCTACGGCTTTGATCGAGGCCTCGCTCCCGATTTCATAAGTATGGTTACCAAAAGAGATGACGAACTGTTCTTCCTCATTAAATGGTAAGTTGCTTCCATGACCTAATCGGTGTTTAGGAAAGGGTGTCAAGGATGTGACGTAGTCCCAGCTGCTCAGGCCAATACGCGATGCCCACAAGTCGTCATCAAATTTTACGAGAGTATTCTGCATTTTCAATGAGATGGATTTGTATTTTGTTATTTTTATACACCGGCTGTATCAAATTTGTTTTCAAAATTCTAGATTGTACATCACAGGGGTTGCGATATGAGGTAGTCATATAGTAGAATCGTTAAAATCACGCGGGTTCCAATGATCATGGTTGATTGAATTGTATGATCAGGTTCTCCACTGGCTCCTGCCTCCATGCGTTACGCATTAGTGTGTCATGCATTTTGGCAGTTCGGCGTATCTGTATGAAAATGGACAGCAAAATGAACTCAGACACACACTTTCCTAATATGCACAGATTCTTAGTGTAATTAAGGCGAAAATGTGCTAAAAGCAATGTGGAACTGTTCAGAACACTGAGCACACGTCCATGGTTCAGCCCATCCAACTTCACTAACTGACCGCACACTTCTCGCTTCATATAGCTACAGATACCACCCGATTCTGCACCACTTTGCTACGACCTGCCTCCGTGGTGATGACTGCATTTCTCCCAAAGTAGGTTGGAAATTTTAGCCAACAAGCGAGAGGCATTTCTCTTTTGGAATGTAACGTTAGTGGTTGCCAGATTATGTCTAGCGACCAGGCTAGTTGTCTAAACGTTTCTTCACAGCGAGATAGCTATACACTCACCAGTACTCGGAAAAGCATTAGCGATCCTTTTTCGCCTTTGGAACTTGTCAGCAGCGCGTTTGTTTTCAAATCCATCACTGACTGAAAGTCCGCGGCTTGCGACACTGGGTCGTAGGTAACATTTGTGGTCCAATGATTCAATACTCAGTGGTACATCAGTTCTGTTGGGAGGATTACTTCTAAAGGATCGGTTGATGGGTCAGCCAGAGAGCGTCCCAAAATTTCGAATATCCTTCAAAGTCAACTGAAGCCACAACTGGGATTGCGTGTCGCAGTCTAAAACCTGACGACAATCAACTTCCGTGTCAAGCGCTGCTCGCAAAGCTTAATGGACTACTGATCATGGCGATAGCCGCCAACTGCTGCTCTGGGTTCCAGTCCTAGCTCAGGCTATAAAGAAAACATCCACTTCTAATATTCTCCTTGAATGTCACCAGGAATCTATGTATACCACCGTTTTTACTGAGTGTGTGACCTGCCACTTAGCGGTTATTAAACTAATACTCAAGGATATATATCTTCATTCTCAGCGTCCGCAACAATTTCACTAAGCGATCTCTCAGTCAGCTCAGCTTAATTGAGAAACGGTGCATTGTAACGACCGACAAAAACAAGCGCTGATGTACGTAATCTATAAATTTGTCACGGTATGGAACGAGGGTGCGACATTCTGATAGTACTTCTGAAATTTGTGCCGCATTCTGCACTTACCGACTGCAAATCGTGTTGCGTTTCAATGGGGGCGTCTATCAAGGCAACGGGATTTCCACAAGTTCTCGGCAGCGTCAAAGGAAGAGCTGGGAGGCCTAGAGGACGATGTGCGATGGTATCGCTGAAAGCAAGAATGACAAATGAAATGACGGGCGCATAATGAAAAACGCAAGCAGACACACCAATGGAACTGACTCGCCGATGCGAAGGGAAACCGCTTTGGCAGTACAAACTGGCATCCATTAGAATAGTTACTTTTACGACTGAGAAAAACGCAGTGGTAGAGCGGATAATGAAGCTGGGATGCTTATTTGTTCTGAGGTACCTGAGAACATAGCTTCAAAGGCAATCAGATCAGTTGAACAACGTAGCGTGCACACTCTTCAGCGTACCGAAATAATGGGAAAGTTAAGGCACCAGCAGTACACCGTACCGACGCTTCGCTGCCACGCAACCATCAGTCGCGCGACGGTCCCCTGTACAAGCTTGAACCCGCGACTTCAAGGTTACAAGGCAGACTAGTAGTCCTTAAGGCCACGTACCGGGCACCGATTAGATGAGGAGGAACAACTCCATTGGTTCGTTACCCTATACGTGCTGATCTCCAGAATAATGAAGATAGCGACGGGAAACGACATGAGCCAACGATCACTGCCCAACTGACCAGCGGTTTTTCTGCATTCGGCCCTACATTGTCATCATTCGTCGTGAAATTATGCTAAAATGTAAGTCCATTGGCAGGGTCAAACCACTTAGCCTGTGACGATTAATGTGCTCTTTTTCGCACAAGATCTAAGACTTACGCGTAATATCGGGATCGTTCTGTGTATTCTTGACTGTCCACAAGGTTGAGATCACCTGCTCCAGCATCGACCACTCGGCTGTTGTAAAAGAAGAGGAGGAAGATGTACTACTTTGGACAAAATAATGCATGGGATGGTTCAATGTTTTAGATCATTTGCACACTTCGTCTTAACAAGGCACATCTCCCCATCATCCGGATTGATTGTGTAATTAACCGCGGCCATACCACTGGGTTACTTACTTATTTACTTATGAGTGGAAGGATTTTGGTGAGTATTTTGTTGGTCGCAATCAGCCGACAATTCAGATATGTTGACCAGCTATCCGGAAAAGCACCAGACGGCCGTTTCGCCCTATTGGGACACATCAGTGGTGCGCATCCTTCGGTCCTCTGCGGAGGATCGAACCCATGACTGCTAGTGGCTCTTGCCAACTAACCCGCAGCTTATGCAAATGCGCCATGGAGGACGGTATCCGACCATCACGAATTGTTAGCTAAATGCGATATATCCCGACGCATCCTCCACTGCCATGCAGGCACCTGCCATGCAGATGACAGCGGTTGGCCTTCCGGCGTCAGGACTTCCCGGTTACGGCAGCTATGAATCAACATAGCATTTTGTGGAATCCGTAAGGGCGAATTGGTATTACTTACTCACTTGCATAAGCTGCGGGCAAGAGCCACTAGCAGTCATGGGTTCGATCCTCCGCAGAGGACCGAAGGATGCGCACCACTGATGAGTCCCAATAAAGCAAAACGGCCGTCTGTTGTTTTTCCGGATAGCTGGTCGATAAATCTGATTTGTCGGCTGATTGCGAAGAACAATACCACTGGGTTATAAATGCAGATGCGTGACTTGCAGTAACTTACTAACACTTCGATTGAGATTGTTTGTAGTCAGACTCGAGTCATTACTGATACCTCAGGGTGAGGTCTTGTTGGAATCGAATACCAGGGACTCAAACCAAATTGATAAGAACAAACTATGTGGTGCCTCGAATAATAACCTATGGAGAAGAAGCAGTCGACCGAGCGTCGGCAGTTATTAAAGTCCCGATCAATTGTAAAACCCAGCGGAATACTGATACCCATCATTTCAGACGGCTGGAGAATAATATAAAGTGTAAAAAAATCAACTACACAACAGTCCAGTTCAGCTGAACAACTGTGATCTGAGCAGCGAAGTGCGATGGATCCAGTTGCCAGGACTCACACTGCAAGAATAACAAAAAAGTAACAACGGTAGGACAGTGGGTTTTGTTGCGAATAGAATGTAAAGAAAGTGGAAACAAGTAGGAAGTGCATCAAACTAATCAGAATGGAACGAAAATTAACAACCAGATGAAAGAAACCAAACGCAGGAACGTCATTGACTGCGCTATGTCTGATACGGTCTCCAACCATTGCTGTGGACCATCCCGAGACCTCCATCCACGAAGACGGCACACACCGTCTGACCAAGTCTCTCAGTCATTTTCGTCGCGCCACTATGCCATGTCATGGACTGGCCACCTCGTGTTTTCACCCAACCCGGTGCAACCACGGTGTATAATGCACGCCGAGGAAACTGGTCAATGGGCATACGGAGAACATGACCTAGCCAACGCAAGCGACTAAGATTTATCAAGCACTCGTAAGAGGCACCGGAGGGATTTGGCCAAAAACCAACTGGCGGACCTTAGCAATGTTCACCCGGTGTTCCCACCAGACGTCAAGCAAGGCCAAGCTTTTAATGTCTTCGGCGCAAACTGGCCAGATCTCTGATCCATACAGTAACATTGGTCTTATCGCAGCGTTATACACCCTAGCTTTCACTGACAGGCGGATGTCCCTAGATGGTTGGGTCTCTGGAGAGCCTTGCTGATCCGCGAAGTAACTTCTTCAGTGATGTGATCACCAGAGCTATCAAGTGAATCGACCCACCACTTCCAGCGACTGTTCGGTAATAGCTAAAACCGGTCAAGTCCTGCAACAGTACTTTGCACTTTGGTGCAAAGCATATGCCGAAACGTGAAGTGCCACACGTCAGTCTAGCCAGTAATGTTTGCACAATCAGTGCATCAGACCGAAGGAGAACTATGTCGTCCGCATACTCTAGGTTTGTCAGTCTGCCACCCGGCAGAACTTCCAATCCAGTAGAGTGTAAGAACGACGAAGTGTGGCAGTGACGCCAGAGTACATTCATACGGACAGGTTCGCTGTCTGAACAGACTTGGTAGCTGCATTCGCAGTGAACGGCAAAACCGAGAACAAAGTTCATGAAGTTGCCACAACTTTAGTGCCACAAGAGGGTCTTATATATCCTTGTGAGTTGTTCACGGGGCCGCGAGAACCGTTTCACGAAGTGAAGTTGGCGATTGTATTTTCAACGGAACGCCAATCAGTGTCAAGTGATCATTGGCTGCCATCGCTTCGCCAATCATCATCATACACGTTAGCTAGAGGTGGGGAACACCTCAGCTACTGTGCCGCAATACACAGAAAAAAGGAGAGAAAAAGAATTCAACTGGGGCAAGCCGGCTGAGCTACCGGTAACGGATGGGCATCGTTCCGGTAAGCTACCAACCGGCTACTATGCATCAAAAAAATACTATGCAAAATTATATAAGGTTAAATAATGAGACCGTGATTGGAGGGGAGGCTAAGAGGGATGGGGAGGGACAAATAAACTCACAGCACGACCGCCACTGAGGTCGGCTCCTACCCATGTCAGCAAGTGTGTCCAACCAAACGTGTCCATCGTCTTTCGGACCCCAACCAGGGAGCCGAGACGCTCCAATCGAGGCCAGCTCAGAAGCGAGGGTCTTCTTTCCTCTCGACCAAGTCATCGCTTGGCCACCCCTCCTCTTCCATCCACACCCCCGGCGCGCAAACAACGCACATCGCGGGAGTCGGTGGGCTGGCATGTGTAACATGTGGCCGAGCCATCGGAGCCTGGTGCATGAAATAACGGTGCTGAGTGGTTCAGCCAATCACATCGCACCTTGATCATCCCAGTATATAACCTAATAATTTCGTAGATCGTATGTGGACGGCTGAAGAAAACAGAAATAACTGAATCCAAGTTGTTTTGCTAAGTGCTACTCCTTCTTGGCATTTTGAAATTTGCAAGGGGTAGAACTTGCCAGAACAAACAATCCCTGCAACCTACGTGCTCCTAACTCGGTTAAGCGGTTAGCATGATCCTTACACCGATCTATGCCTACTGAAACAGTGTGAGCTAGTTTCGTTTCGAACTAACAAAAATAAATGGTTTGGAATATCGGTAGGCTTGTTCAACAATTGAAAAATAAATGGGATGATAACAAATTGATGTGGTCCAGCCGAAACAGAGGTGCATCACGTATATGCAAAATCAGCATCCGCTTTAGGTAGTGAATGCTTCCCAAATCGTTAGCGCTCCACAAGGTGGTGGCAATGAGGATTATAGTCTACCAGTCGGCCACACATTGGTGCCAGAGGGCGGTGTCTGCAACCTTTGGGGTGTCATTTTGAGTATAATATACAGCATCGTTCCGTCGGGATGGGTTGGAGAAAAGTCACACACTTAAATACGGGATGCACTCACCTCTCTACGAGTTTAATAATGTCTCTTACTATAGTATCGCGGTCAGATGGCTGTTCCGTTCCTGCTTCTATTGGCGTGGCACAGCTGAAAGGATAAGGAAAGATTGGTTTCCATCATAAAGGCATCCAGCAATTTAAAATGCGATGTGTAGACCACTACCAAGATGACACTTGATGCGTTCGGCAGAGGAAGACCGCAGGTTAACAAACAATAACAATTTGCACATTACTGCAAATGAGTTTGCACATTTAGAAAAGCGGAAGAAGTGGAAGATCAAAGAAAAAATCCGGATGCCTCTGAAACTTTGCTGGAACAGTGGAATGAATCGCAGCGAGCTTCGGTCCCAATATCGTTATAACTGTAATTGATCTTTTGTTAGTCATTGTGGACGATCTCACAAACAAGAGCTGGAAATTTAGTCAGACGATCTGGCTCGCTTGGCCTCTTGTCTGATGGTGACGCATGAGCCCGAATTTTTTCCTAACGAGTGCGTAATTATGTTCGAGGGATCCGATAGCAACTAAGCAGAAACGCTGCATACTGTGGTGAGTAATGGATCAGTAATTTTCAGGGTAAATTGTAAATATTTTTGTGAGAAGACATTAGTAGAATGCAGTTTCAACCACAAACCAAGTCGTTATCGTCATCAACGGCGGTGCACCAGCCATTTGAATTGATAATTCGCTGCTGTACAACCACACTGGCCTACAGAGCAGAGAATAATAAGCGGAAGATTTAGCATAAAACCCTAAGGTACTCAAGGTCAAGGCGCTTACACCTTGTTTCAACAACATACAATCACAAACAGCTGGCTATCGTGCAAAGATTAGGCGGCATCGGCAAGACAGCTTTCTTGCGGCTCTCACTGCCCCGCGTCATAATAAACCATTACCCTGCAGATAACTCAGCACCAAACACATTTTAAACAGGCAGTTCGACTAGGGGACAGCATCAGACGCCCACTGGTGTCGACTGCGTGCCATGTTCTGTAAAGTCTCGAGCCAAGCACAAGGCGGGTCACGTGGACTCCAGCCCGGAAGGTGAAACGAACCAACGGCAGGCAGTTTGGTCGTCAGTGACTTAATTTCACGCTGCCAAGTCAACTTTTGTCCATCTCGAGCTTTCTGCCACTCTACATCTGGCAGGCTAAACAAAGCCCTCCTAGGTAAGCGGTGACCAGGCATACCTAGCACGTGCACAATTTAATCACCGCTATCTGTTGTTCTAATGAACTAGCTTGGTTATCACTGCCTAATACTCGCCTACGCACATCATCGTTGCAGACACGCTGGTGCCACGCGACACCAGTAATGCTCCGCGGACAGCGATGATTAAAGACTTGAAGGCGCCTCAGATCAATCGGGCCAAGTCCCATTCCCATAGAGTAGGACGGCCCTCACTGTGGCCTTGTAAACACGGTCTTTTAAACGGGAAAGCCCCTTTCTGTCGCCAAAAATCTCGCAGGTTCGGAAAAGCAATTCTGGCTTTTACAATACGTTTACTGACCTAAATAGCTATACACCTATCGTTGCTGATGCAGCTGCCAGGGTAAGTGAACTGATCAACTACCTCGAGTTCCTCGCCATCAAGAGTCAAGGAGTCAGTAATTGGTTGGTGATCCTGCAACAGCATATTGAAGGTGTGAAACGCATACCAAATAATGGGATCACTCTAGAGGCGTTATTCGGGGTTGATTGCGCTGTCCCAACATCGTTAGCAGCAAGAGGATATCGTTCGCATGATTGAAATCAACAGGTTTTTCCGTCAGAGAGCACCTCAACGTGAGATCATCGTGAGATTCTGCAGCATGACGGAGTCCACAACGAAGTTGAACAAAAATTGGGAATAATTTCAAAGGTAGTCAGTCACGCAGGTCCGCGGTTGTCACCCATAGCTAAAAGGCACAAGCTGTTGGCATCCGGAAGTCATGGGGTCAGAACCCGGCAGGGGTCCGAGAAGGGAGCACCACTGACGAGACCCAGAAGGTCGAAATGGTTGTCTGGTGCTATTCCAGACGTGTCGAAGCTTGCTGACCGAGAGGACTGCGACGAACTACCTTTGGAATTACACCCAAGGCCCCACTACTCATTAGTAATCAAAAGTTGGGAAATTGAATAACCCTGAGGAAGCTGCTTGTTCTCGGAATATCCGACAAGTCATCATAAACCCTGTGGTGTTCGAGTGCATGGCACGAAAAATGTTCACACAAGTCATGGGAACACTTTTCCGCTTAATTCGAACAGAATGCATCGATCGACTGGATGGAACGCACTCTTGAATTCGAGGAACACAGCTACTGTCAGTCTGCGGTATGCGTGAATCTTCTCTAGCACTTGAATATATGGTCTACACAGCCCCGTTCAGGGCGGAAACCTATTTGCTCTTCCATAATCCGGGATTTCCTCTCCGCAGTGAGACGACGAACGAGATTTGAGGCCAGTAATTTTGTTACCACTGGTGTTGGGCTAATACCCCCACTGTAATCGACCCGTTCCAAGAAGTGGATGCCGTTGAAAGAGTGGGACAGAAACGAAGGCGGTAATACCGTCATATATACTTATAATAACCGAACTTTACAAAAGAACTTCGATGGCACACATCAACCGGAGATAGGTAAGCCATCACAGAACGAATAAAGCTGAATGGAGAAATTTCAAACTTGGCTTTAGGGAGGACGATCGGTTTATGCAATAGGCCCATGCAAACACACCCACTAATTGAAAACAAATATGTGATGGTAGAACGGTGGCTGACATCGAAAGAAATCTTGAAATGCCGTCACGTGCGTCGATGTTGCATTCGAACTGTCGAGTGTTGTGAGCACGCTCACCGTCACGAACGGGTTTCCGTACAGTCAGTCAAATGAGTGGCAGGTCGTTATTATTGGCTAATTCCTTCTACACACTGGTTCGTAGTAGATCTGACTCAGTGTGAGGCAATGCCTTACTTGTTAAACACGTAAGTGTCCGCTACAAATTAGAGGTCTAAGTGACAGACAACATCAGAGCTCGAGTCCGGTTAGCAGTTCGATACCAGTGATGCAAGTGAAACACCGCAGGTTAGTAAAACGAAATCGCCGTTGTGTTCTTGATGTTGTGCTCCATCTCTCGACAGTGTCTCACATCTGTCACCGACACAAGGAAACAAACAAAAAACATCGATCTCGATTAGATTCTCAATGCACTGGAGGTGCAAAATCACGTCGAATGTCACACTATTGATGAGGGCGTTCTTGCTTTGTGCAATATTCTGACGAGGTGAACAGCAATAAAGTTTTGAAAGCTTGCAAATCGGATTATCAGAAGGTGATATCTTTTTACTGCTGTTTAGCAACCCACTGAACGCGCCATGACAGGAGCGTAAGTAGCATCATTCCAACTAAGCTAGTGAGTCAGGGTTCCATCTTTTCAAAGTAGTGTGGTATGAAAATCTAGAAAACGGCTGTCTCCGAATTACTATGGACTGCGGATCACCATGGGTCGATAAACCTCAAGGGAATGACTAGAACAACTTAGAACAAGACAAGGAGAAGACTAGTGCTACAAGATGACACCATTTATTGTTATCTGATCATTTGCAAACTGACAACCCATATCATGTGCGTGTGAAAAAAGAGCGTTTTGAACTTGGAGTAGAAGCAAACGTTATGAACCCCCCCCCCCAAAAAAAAGCTTTAGGGCGACTGTTAATTGTTTCTGTACACGAATAGTAGCACGGTGCCGGTTAGGTGTTAACGACGTTGGCAAAATTGAGCACTCTCATTTTCGACAGAGAACCGCAAATGTTGCGCTAAAGTAAACTAGGTGGCTTGTTCCGATTGGCGATGAATGACGTAAGCAGTTTGCTTGTTGTGCCGTCAAGATAACGATCACTTCGGCAAATGCACAGCTACAAACAAATTAGTAAATAAAACGGGTTGTGGCGGAGACTGATTGAGTTTGACTGAAGGCATCGGCAGTTTTCCGGTCACTCAAATAAAGCCAAGTTTGGTAGCGTTGAATTTTGTGTGAACAGCCATGTCTACCCGTCGCTTAAGTTGCACCTTTACCCCATTAACATTTAGAGGGTAACTGTAGGTAGATGGGTATTGTGGGCAAATCTGTTTTCCCAAAGATGTCTGTGAAATCGCATAAATGCCTCCGGATATCCATCAACCTGTAATACCTATGTGACGAACGACAATTCCGACTGCACACAGTCAGCACTGCATATTCTTCGGGATCGGTTAAACAGCATCTTAACGAGACAAAGGTTATATTGGACGGCGTGAAGCTGTTGAAGTCCTCATACAGTTCAGTCTATGTTGTTTTCCTGTAAGCAGAGCGCCTTATCGAGCCGTCTTCTCGCCTGGTCGCCGATACATCCAGAAAGCCAAACAATTATCTTATAGTTCACAAGTGAAACAGGCATTGGGATTGCGTTATTGAGCACATTGAGAAGAGGCTGCGTAGTCTCTACACTTGGAGTAATTACTAATATATCATGGACGTACCACCTACATAGGTAAATCTGGTTGGGGTACGACTAACGCCTCAACTCGAACAGTGCCAAGAAGATATCAGCCAGTAAGTGGCCAAATAGACTTTTCATAGCCACACTAATTACCTATCGATGTGCCCCGCCTACGAATAAGAAGTGCGCGTTTTCCGTGCGTAGTAGCGACCAATTCCTAAAATGTTATACGGGAGTCGGCAAGGCTACTTTCTATTCCATGATTCAAGTGGTTCGCTTAATGGAATGTTGGAGAACAAAGACTGTACGTACATAGAACACATTACACAACTTCGGCTCACAAGCTCCAACATCCGCCGCCTTTATGACCTCCCCAAAATACACAAACCAGATACTGGATACGAGGAATTCGCCATATCAAAACATCGTACAATGGTTGACAAGAATGCTGAATCCCATCAGGCAAATGATTGCTCCTCATCAACTGAGATATACATTCGGTTTGTCGACCAAGCTCGAGACATGAATGTCTTGGAGTACCGAATGCTTTCTCTAGACGTTGTCTCATTGTTTATAAACGTGCCTCTGATGGAAACCGTTAATCTTCTATGCTCATATATTGACCAACAAAATATAAGCATTGGAATATCAACCAACCAACTGAAACAACTGGTACAACTGCTACGAAGTTCAACTCCGATGTAACAACCAGATACGCAGACAAGTTGATGGCGTAGCAATGGGGTCTCCACTTGGTCCACTGTTAGCGGACCTCTTTGTGGGAATGCTAGAAGGCGGTTCACTAAAACAGGTTATCTCCGGTCTGGAATTCTGCAGGCGCTATGTAGGCGACATATTCTGTATAGGTGATCGGAACATCAATCCGCAGCAGATAGTCGGTAGTTCCAACAAAGTCCACCTGAATGCCACATTTACGGCTGAGGAAGAAAATAACAATCAGATGAACATTTTAGGCGTAAGCCTCGTCAGAAGGAACGACGCATCAATCCAGGAAGCCGTATTAGATGGGGCAATACATGAACTTTCGAAAGGACGTTGGTAAGAAACCCTAACTGATCGGACATAAAAAATCCGCAGCGAAGACACCATTGGAGCCGAACTCAAACAAGTCAAAGAAACACTTCTGGATAACAGCTATCCACAGCGCTTTATCAAGGCCTACATGAAACAAACGATAACAAAAGTGCAGAAACAAACGGTCGAAAAGAAACAACTTTTCCTGGCTCTTCCATTCAAAGAAAATAGTGTAGCTGAGGTAGGCACATGCAGACTAAAAATAAAGTTGCGACCTGGCTAAAAGTGGTTTTCACGAGCAGACCTAGGTTCAAAGACTGAGTGCTTGACCATCTCCAACCAACGATAATCTACCGGTTCATATGCCCATGTGAGGCTAGGTAGTTTGGACGCACGACCAGGAACATCTCCCAAGCTGGGTCTCCAATCACAAAAAGCGGACAAATAACAACGCAATTACCACCCACCTAATCAACTCCGTTCACCAGATCAACAAATCGATTACCTTTCAGATTCTATACAGGGACCGCTTACACGTAACCATCGAGTAAGAGTAAGCCTGTGTGCCACTGCGTAAACATTATGCATAGGCTAACATGCCCCGACGTGTTGGTTCAGAGGAATATGATACACACATCGCAGCTGCCGTGGCCGACCATCATACGGGAAGGAAATAACTGCGCTTCGCAAGACCACCTGACTTCAATCATGTGATTGGCATCATGAACACAAGTTAAATTATCTAATCAATTAATTCATTGTTATAAAGGCAATTACAACGAATCTTATTCGATCATAAGTTAATTAAACGAAAATAATTGTTCGCTTAAAGCGTCGTCTTTTGCTTCTCTTTCAGTTCTATGCAATAAGTGGGCATAATTCAGGAGTTAAAACACATTACCTTGTCTGCAACAATCACACTTTACACATAATCAATCAAACGCAAAGACATCGTTTACAGTGTGTCTCACTATCATTTGTCTCATCAGTGTAAGTAGGTTAACTAGCCAACGTGTCAACTTGTGGTACGGAGAATTGCACATGTATCGGCCTCGATGATGTGTTAGCCCATCTTTTGTAGGCCGTACTTTTGAGGGATGCAGGTGTTCATTGCACTACAGGACCTGTACACCGTTTCCGTTATCATTCTATGCTAAAGCAACAATTTGATTCGACTGGTCACCATAACTTTTCGATCTATGTTAACGTGTATCCGCTCTCTTCCAGAAAGTTGTATGCATCCTTTAGGAGTTCACAAATCTGGTCTTTGCAATATCTGACTTATCCATAATAAGAACTTCTGTATCATTTTCCAGTTTTAAAACTAACACACCTGTAGTTGGAGGTCGGAGGAAAAAGGTGTCCGCTTTGTAAACCGTGTCTCGAATCTGCTTAGGTGCGGACGGCCCTCGCAGCATCCCTAACCCACACGCGGCTGGTGATGCTCGCGTGACAGCGAAGCGTTGGTGCGGCGCACTGGTGTACTGCTGACGTCTTAAACTTACAAAGCTGACGAGGATATTGATCGGTACGTTCGCATTCGGACAGAAAGCGACTGCGCATCCTCTCCGTGGCAATTTTGCGTTTACCAGTTACGAGTCCATCAAGGATATTGAGAGTGCCAATCAGGGACTTTCGTCTCAGAAATTAAAAATATTTAAAGTTGAGCTTGGAGAACCCGGTGTGTGGTGGTTGGGTTGCGACACGCAACCTCTATTGAGACCTCGGTTTACTTTGTGTTAGACCTCGGGATGAGCAACACAGAAATAGTTCCACTAAAAATATTGAGTTGCTCTTGTCAGTTGAACAAGACAATGAAAGCACGATCACTGCAAGATGACATAACTTGTCTCGCTGCATAGGGAGACATATTTTGGAACAGAACGCAGACTGGAAATGCGAATTGGAGAGCAAATTCCGAAGTGGATTGTCAAGATGATGGCGCAGCAAGCAATGGGACAAGAAACAACAGGAAAAATGCCGGCGCTGTCTATCGCCAAAACCCCAATTGGAACAGGTCATTAAGTTTAAACTCCGACTCAAAATTTGCGGCTGTCTATCAGGATGAAGATGCCAGAGTGTTGAAGTTTGCCGACAACGTGTCCTTTTGTACAGAAGCAACTAGCAATCGCCCTAAAGCCTCTTTGGGGTTCATGCTATTTGCGCCAGTTATCTGCTGTTTCATATCCGTGTTTTCTTATCTGTTCAAAACGCTTAAACACACATACACACACACACACACACATATATATATATATATATATATATATATATATATATATATATATAACGGTTAATCAGCGTGCATGGCGCGATCTGATTACGAAGACCGTTGCCAAGGTGCAAGAGAAAGCCCTCCTGCATGCAGAGAAGAAGCAGCAATTGCGGAAACGACCGGCACCGATGGGCTGTACTCCATCGACAGCGAGCGCGTGGTGCTGTAGCACATGCGGTCGCGAGTACCTAAGTCAGTCAGGCCTAGTCAGCTATGAGCGAGGCCTCTCGGGGCAAACACCGAAAGGACGATTCCTGCAGAGAACGTAAGTAGAACCGGCATAGCGTTTGTAGGTATGCTGCATTCGATTTACTAACCGCGTGCTTGCATATTGAGTCCATTTCAGGTGGTGGGTTTGCTATATTATCCTAATGCTTTTTATCTCATATTAATGTCTACCTGAACTATCTTCGATAAGCTTGCACAAGTTCCCTAAGCTAAGTGTATTTAACTTCGATAATATTTTCACGTTTGTGGCATTTTCTTAAAATATATTTTTTGACTTTTTGAACCTATCGCTAATTTGTTCGCAACCAATTTATTTTATACGCTCATTTAGTGAATAGTTATGTCTCCGTATGCATTATTCGATTTATTTTATTTGATGTCGTCGTTTCAAGTGATTGGCTGTTGTTTGACATCCCCGGTGTGGCTGCGCTTGATGTGCATGTTGACAAGGTGCCTACCTGTCTATTACCCACTACCTCGTCCATACTGGCTCTAGGAGACAGTTGGTCGTTGTTGGAGGGGACGGGGTGCACGGTCCTTGTGGCCGTGCTAGGCTCGAAGAGTGGTTCCATGCACTCAGTGTGGAGCGGACTACGGTCCAGCCACCGCCTTGTGTGCGCTTGATTCCCCAAATACAGCGTGCTTGTGCTTGCTTGTGAAGGAGTGTGGGCCGGCTCCGTTGATGAAACGTGGCTCCCATCCACATACCTCCCGGTCTTATTCGTTCGGGTTCACACTAGATATGGGGTGAGTGCTTGGAGCTGTGGGTGGTGCAGCACAAGCCAACCATGGTCCCTCTGTAGGTGCAGGCGTCCTGTGGCTGGCCACAGTGACAGGCAAATCCGAGACCGGATGCCGCCAACCATATATATATATATATATATATATATATATATATATATATATATATATATATATATATATATATATATATATATATATTGCCAGTTTGCAAGTGATCAGAAAGCAGGAAATGGTGCCATCTTGTAATGCTTTTCTTCTCGTTGTCTTGTTTTAAATGATATAAGGACCTTAATGCTTTAAGCTCCTGAGAACGAATTTGTTGGTAGACGTGCAGCATTCCGCAGATCCACGGACGCATGCAGAACAATGTCCACTGAAAGAAAGAGGCTGGCTATTAAAACGTGAAACGTAGTAGATATATGCAAATGTAGTCGTGACTATTAGGGACAGCGAATCAAAACTTACCTTCCGTAGGCAACTTGAGTGGGCTCTTGATCTGCAGGTGCGAACAAGAGGTGCTGCCGTTCTGGAGATTCACTCTTGAAAATAAAAGAGCAAGCTGCAGAGACAAACGTAGACAAAGACTTCTGTCGCATATGTAGCTCTATTTATGGAAGTGATGGAAGTGCCCCAGTTATTGAATCTTGCAAATTCAACCAAAGATGATTTATCTAGCGCTAGCAAGCGAAATTATGTACGTGCTTACACGAAAAGATAGAATCTGTGGATCAAAAATTTTAAACAACCTACCTTAGGAGTAGCTGCTGTTGCTCGCTATATCCAATATCTACACTCTTAAGATGGATGGGCATCAAGAATAATAAATATTCATTTCGACAGGTATTATACGCCTTTGTAGTCCAAATTGCTGCGTTGCTACAGCCAGAACTGTGATCCAGGCAAGAAGTCCGCCTAATACGCCAGATTAATGTCCAAAATGCGGAAACGATGACTATAAAGAGTACCACGCGTTATGGTCACTAAGGTTGCGTGACGTCGCTCTGATTGGTTGCTTTGGTACCTGACCGCTTCGATTGGCTGATCAAGAGGAGGTGCTACTTCTAACACCAGGAAAAGGCATTTGTTAGTGACGCAGAATATTTACAAGTGGCGTAAGGGATCTGACGTCTCCAGCGGTTGATGAGTGGCGCATGCTGCAGCGATCTCAGCATAATTTAGCTGAAATGTGCTTCCACTTCGGAAAAAGCATATTTATGGAATTTTTGTTTACATAGAAAAAGACCACGAAACCACTGCGGCCTTGAGGCACCCAATTTGTCTCTGGAAACACAAGGGAGGAGCCCCGAAAAAAACTACATGGCCCTGGCAACGGTTTGGAGAGCCAGAAATCGAAGTGAGGTGCCATAGAGTGCCGTTAAATGTGTGAGCGCCACTAGCAAGCGCAAATGGATGTGTCAAAGGCAGTCCCAAAGTAAAGGATAATGACTAGTATATTATACACAATATGTGGTGCAGATATTGTGCCATCGGAATCATGGCTGACTAGGAAAACAGTATGCATAATAGAAAAGAGCAACAACAACAACAACAAGCTTTTTTGGCTAGTTTACCACTCACAGTTTTTGAAATTTTTTCAGTTTGTTCTTTTTTAGGGGGAGGAAGAAGGGACACCGCAACACCCCGATGTACACGTCCGCCACTGACATCAATCTTAAGCCATGGCTTCCAAGGTCTTCAACCATCAAGTATCCGCATCTATCGGACCCCAACCAGGTAGTCGACAACAACCGGCCGAGGCCAACTGTTTCGTCAGCTTTTTCATGCGGCTTCTCTATGTTGTAGGCTGTCCACTAGACCGCCTCTTCCAGCCCTGTCCAGCAACCGCAAACAACGCACAACGCGGGTAACACTGGACATGCATGCGCAATACGTGTCCCAACCACCGCAGTTGATGCAGTGAGACGAGCTCCTCGAGCGAGTGGCTTCCACGTCCCAAGACACGCTGTCTAACTTCCACATTGCTTACGCGGTGCTGCCACCACACACGGGCAATGGACCGCAGACAGCAGTGCTCGAAGGCGGATAGTCTGCGCAAGTCATCTTTACGAATGGGCCAGGTCTCGCATCCGTACAACAGTACATCACGAACAGTTGCACAATAGACCCGCCCTTTGATGGAGAGACGAATGTCATGGCAACGCCACAAATGCTTCAGCCTAGAAAAAGCGAGGCGTGCTCTCGAGATGCGCATCGAAATCACGTCTCCAACAGCCCCGCCAGCAGTGATGCAACTCCCCAAGTAAACAAAGTTCTTCACAACCACCCGTGTCTCACCACGAAGCGTGAGTGCAGACGCAGGCATCTGCCAGTCTTGGAAGAGAGCCTTGCATTTAGATGGCGAAAAGTACATACCATACCTTGATGCTTCAATCGCCATCAGTTTAATGCAAGTTGGACGACATGTGGATCATCATCCAGCATGACGATATCATCAGCATAATCCAAATCAACAACTAGACTACCTGGGAGAAGCGCAATGCCAGCGTTCAACGAATCGCCCAGAGCGTTCTTCAGGACATCCTCAATGGCAAAGTTGAATAGGAACGAAGAGATAGGACATCCTTGTCGAACTCCACTGGAGACAATAAAGGAAGGCGAAAGCTTGCCATAAGCCCTAACCCTGCCCGAGGTCAGACTATCGAGAGCGCGCAGTATGGAGACGAACTTCTCGGGGACACCCTTCCTCAATAGGCAGTGCCACAGTACTGTACGATCGACAGAATCGAAGGCTGCACGGATATCCAGGAACACAGCAATCGTTGGCCTCTAATACACATGGCGGAGTGTGAAGATTTGACCGATGCAGCCGCGACCAGGGCGAAACCCAGCTTGTCCTTCTCGTTGCAACGTATCGCGCGTTGCGGATAGTCTGCGAAGTATGATGGATACCAACAGCTTGCAAACGACGGGGACTAAGCTTACGCCACTGTAGTTGGAGCAGATTGTGCGCAGGCCCTTTTTGAAGATGGGGACGACTATCGATTCACTCCAAGATGATGGAATATTTTCTTTCGACCAAATTTTCGAGAACAAAGCGGTGAGTTCTCGAACCAGCGAAGCGCCACCATCTCTAAATAGAGCTGGAGGAAAATCATCAGGGCCGGGGGCTTTATAACGTTTCATGTGCCGGAGCTCCTGCTCGATTTCCTGGTAAGAGGGAGGATCTGTGGGGGTAGACCACTGGGCCCCAGCACGAGCACCAAAGGTAGCAGATGAAACTGGAGGCCAAGAAAACTGCGAGGCAAAATGTTCGGCCCATTTCTCCAACCGTCCTTGAAGATTTGTGATTAAGGTGCCATCCTCTTCGCATATTGTTTCACTTATACCAGATCGAACACCTTCGGTGATTCGAATGAGATGGAAGAGTTTTCCGGTATTACCAGAGAGACTAGCAAGCTCCATCTCCCTAGCACGTTCACACCACCAAGCTTCGCGGTCCATTTGCAGACTCCTGCGCAACTCTCGACCAAGGGATTGGTGTTCGTCACTGTGTCTGGAATCCGATGGGATCAAGCGGCGTTTGTCCATCAGCGACAAGGAGCCGGTGGAAATTCAATGCTTCGGTGGGTGACGTGCAACTCCACAAGTGTCGATACTGGCGGAAACTAAGGCATCTTTGATATGCGCTCACTGCGAATAGAGTTCAGCGTCAATAGTTGAGCCAAGCAAGGTTGACAATGAGGCTTGGTACCTGGTTAAAATCGCAGGGTTTTGTAGATTTGCGACGTCCGGTCGGTAGTGAGCGCGCTTAGGTGATCCTCCGAAACGCATGCAAATTTTAACGAACGATCGGAGTCTAGATAAGTTGACCAGTACGATCGGCAGTACGTTAAGCTTCCGCGCTATCTATAGCTGTTCGCTATGTGGTCAAGCTGGGAGCACTCTTGCGTTTGTGGGGGCGGGCACCAGATAGCACTGTGTCACCTCGAGTGCCGAAAACTAGTGCTCGAAAGACGATAATCAGTGCAAAGAGCAAGCAGTCTGTCTCCATTGTCTGATCGACTGTCACCGAGACCAAAACTACCCCCAAGATGGTGCTCGCTTGGTTACTGGTGGCCAATCCGTGCGTTAAAGTCCCCGGCAAGAATGACTGTATCAGTCCTTTTGGTGGAACGCAGAAGTTCATGTAGTTGTTGGTAAAAGCTATCTTTAACTGCATCCGGGATACAGTTTGTAGGGGCGTAGGCGGAGACGCCAAACAAGGCACGCTTAACGTCTTGACGCCTGCTTACGTTACATGAACCTCGTAGTCTGACTGCAGATAGCCGACTGTTGACTGGGATCTAGTCAAGCAAAGCTGATTCAGCCGTGGTACTCAGTGCAACCCCAACACCAGCTTGACCAGTGGCGGCAGCTCCTGGGTCTCCGGAAAGCCGCAAGTGGTATTTGGCGTCAGGGTTTACCGGAGAGGCCATTCTGATGACGGCGCTAGTGTCTTGTAATCTGGTCTCTGAAAGGCAATAGATGTCTACCGAGAGCGTTTCAAGAGCACATGCCAGACATGCATCAAAGTTCGAACATTAAACGCTGCGAGGACGAATGGAGAACCAGATCGAAGAAGAGCTGGAGCTTCGGTGGAGTGAGAGGCGGTTGCGATCGTAGGGCATTGAAAACCGGGAGTTTGGCTGTTGCTCCCATTAGTTGCTAGCCGTGGGTCGTTTGTGACGGCGACCGTAGAAGACATAAGAGTACATATTGGTGAAGGACGGGAGGTGGGGTGATCTGTGAGAAGTTGAGTTAGCATAGAAGATAGACATAGCAGTAGCAGTAGTAAGCAGTGTGGTCCATGATTCGTCAGTGGGCGTGATACTACCCGGTTGCCCAGGCCGAAGTAGAGGGTTGTCTTAAGGAGCCCTACCCCGAGCCTTTGATCAAAGATCTAACCTACAAGGCAGCAAAGCGATGTGAGGGCGTCGCAACCCGTTTGGAGCCGGTGGCCAAATAAATGGTTCATACGCCTTTCGGTCCGTGAAGGACCAGCGGCCCAACGCACCCTTGAAATATAATGCATCTCAGGAAGGGGCAAGGGGCAGTGGTTTTATTTAGTGGCGAGTCACATCCGCCACGTCGCAGTGTTGTTAAATAGACATTTCTGGTTTTTTATAGGGAGAAAGCTTGCAAGACGAAAATCCACCACGTCGTGGAACACTGCCGCCAATGACTAGAGTAGATCATCGTTATGTATGGCTCTGTTTCCTGAATATGCAAATGCTTTCGGGAGCGTTAACTGAACAATACTGCTAGTGTGATGTTTAAAGTTATATTCGCAGTGATTAAAGACCATTTAACAAACTGCACCCTGTTCACTCAGCTTAACGACCGGAGTGTTTTATAGAGAGCGGTACTCTTCTCGGTTTTCTATATATACAGGGTGTATGTAATTCTGGACACATGGATAAAGATGCAACTTGCTATTCAAATAACATTCTCCATACGTTTTCCATCGGTCCATTGCGATGCAAATGTCGATGCGTTCCGCAAAGTGTTCGTGAAGTTGATGAAATAAATCCCCATTGCCGTAACTTTTATTACATTCAC